TTGTGGAAGACAATGTTGGTTATGATTCTGACGCTTCGAGTAGTAGCAGCGAAATTATACTACCAAAGAGACGAAGAATGAGAATTATTGAAAGCGAAAGCGAAGATTCGTTACAAGACTTAGACGAATGGCGCGATGTTACGGAAGAATTACATATTCCAGACAGAATACCTTTTAGTGCATTGCCACAGGTCGTTGGACCACAAGTTCCTACAAACGTTGAACAGCCGATACAATATTTTAAATTATTTTTCACGGACGAATTGGTAAATGAAATTATAAAGGAAACCAACAATTGCGCGGAAAATGTTCTAAACTTGAAAGAAATATCTAGTAACTCTATTTGGCAAGGTGGATACTGTGACACTTGTCCAAGTAAACCCAGAATGCACATGGGAGACTGTTACCAAAGATATCGCACCATGGTGAATTACAAAATTGAAAATTTATCTTTTATTTACAATAGGAAAATGTATATTTATAAAATCAATAAAATATATCGAACGCGTTCGCAAGGACGTGTGATCTTTTCCGCTCGAAATAAGACTTCCTTGATTTCAGGCGCTCCGCTCCAAAAATGAGAACCAAGCGGCGCGATGCACTCGTTAACACGTTGAATGCCACGCCAGTTTTACAGAAATTGCCCGTGGCGCCACGATGAATTTTCTTGTATGTGATACATATAATGTTGAAATATTATCTGCAATAGATAAGTTACATTTACCATGTTTGACATGTTAATTGCGACGGGGATCACAGTTTGAATTGACGATGGTAATAATACAAAATTTTAGATATTGACATTTGTTTTAAATTATACATATTTCTATCAATTTTGGCGCGCCGATCACCGGTGGCCCCCATGGCGTCAGCGCCAAGTTAAGTGCCGGTCACCGGTGACCCCCGTGGCATTCAACGTCATAAGATTGGCAAACAAACTGAAAAGAAAAGGAAAGAAAAAAGAAACAGCTATGCGATGTACACGCGTTACTAAAGTTTGACGCGACACGAAATCCGAACAGCGCGATCGCGCTGCTTGGAACTCAAACGGTTAAGGGCTGTTTAATCGTTCCGCCGAGTGTGATTATCGACTCGTTATCGCCTAACGGAACGCCCCGAAGGAATTAACTCGCGAGCCCGTTCCGATTTCATTCGTTCTCGAGACCGGCAAAAGCTGGAGGACCGGAACGTGTCTGCGACGTGTGTCTCGTCGCAGAAGTTATTCCGCCAATTATCTTCAGTAGTTCTCGTTATTCGAAACTGTACGCATATCAAAGAAATCTTGTTCGGAGAAACCATCTTTTACGACGATAATGGTTTAGCAAGTAGGCCGGGATCTCGAGGCAAAACTTATTCATTTAAATGAAATTGAATGTATTCGGTCCGCTAAGTACGCAGTCTATACCCAGCCATGATCATCGGCTTGTAATACGCTGGTGTTTGAAGGCCATTCAAGGTCGTATATTGCCGTTAAGAACGGTTACCCTCGTCTTAAAAAGTTCAGTCTCGAAATCTTGATGCATAATTTCAAGAGCTTTATTCGGACGGTCTAGGAGAGCGTTGCGCCCATCGGTCAAAGTGAGGCACCCTGTGCACGCTGCGTTTAGAAACGACGACGCGTCTATCGGTTCGGTTGAGATCAGATCGAATTTCTATTGTCTCGGCGGATTAAATATTTCCTGCAACGAAGTTGCGGCGGTACTCGAGCTGATCGAAAGTTAGAGTTACATTTGAGAATATCATCAATTTCATTGTACAGTGAAAATTGTATCGTGAAAATGGTCCGCCGTTCGAGAGTTAACATCAGGAATCCTGGAGCCAACGGAATATTTCCTCTCAATTTTCATGGATCAGCTTACGGAATTGTATAAAGCTCCGAAGTTTAGCCCTTTCGTAGGCACCAGGAAGCTTCCCACCCACTTTTAGGGTGCACATGGACGCCAGGCTCAAATATTCCCACCGTCGAAATCTGCTAGCATCTGCACGGGGTGTTCTAAAATTATGATATTTCCGGGAAATGAGGGGTTCCTGAGATCATTTGAAGTAACTTTTTCCTTAGCGAAATTGCGATCCGCGGCTTCGTTTACGAGTTATTAAAGAAAAACAGTGACCAATGAGACGCGAGCTTGGCTGGCGCGCGACGGCCGAGCCAACGAGCGGTTCCGCTCATTGGCCCAGTCGCCTAGCGCCGAGCGAACTCGCCCCTCATTGGTCAGTGCTTTTTTATGAATAATTCGTTAACGACGCGTCGGAGAAAATTTTCGTAAAGGAAAAAGTTGCTTCGAATCACCTCAGGAATCCCTCATTTCTCGGAAATACCATAATTTTAGGATATTCTGTATATAGGTCCCACCACCCCTAATTTTGAGGGGTGAGATATTAAAAATACCAGGAAAACGAATAACAGCTGTATCGTAATAAAAACAGAAATAAAATTATGGCAAGCGAATGTTCCGATCTTTTGAAAATTCGTATCGTGCCCATGAAAGGGTTAACCGTTACATTCCCGTAGAAACGTCGTAATCGGCAAAGGTGCCGATCGGTTCCCGCAAAAACCGAACGGTTCTTCGAGCAGCTGGTTGCTGCAACAGCAATTCCATTGGACGCGTAGCGCTTGAATGCGACGCGCGTCGTCCATCGAAGCACCGCTCTCTCTCTCAGCGTTCCACGGAAACTCGAGTGCAAAACATCGCGGGGCTCGGCAGATCGCCGCTATAAGCCGGGTGTTTCGTTTCAAAGGTTCCCGGACCGGGAATCTGTAATTCCGCGCTGGGAAGTTCCGCGTCGCGTTCTACGCGCGCAAACGCCACGCAAGAGCGACGCGCGGCGAGTCCAGAAAATCGTAACCTTTCCGTTAACGGTGACCTATGGTATCGATCTAAAAACGCGGTCACATTTCGTCAGCTTCTTCGAAATACATCGCTTCTCGATGGAAGTCTGCGGACTTCGAAGATTGAGAAATCGATGCAATTGAACAAATATCTCAGCGTCGACTCGTTGCTCGAGTTCGACCGCGGTTTCATCGGGCCGACGAACGCCCGACTTTCGAACTGAAATGAAATCCGCGGAGTTTTGGATCGGCGAGGTTGAAAGTCGCAGCGACACGCGACGAAGCAATTCGACGCGGTTCGAGAGGTTAAAGTTGCTTCCATTCGAGCTGTCTCGGTCATTCTGCTTCATGCTTTCTCTCGATTTTTATCCATGCAATGAGATGCGTTCTTTGTTGCCATGAATGTTTGACAATTGTTTTCATATTTTGACAAGGAATACAGTAAATTCTCTCCAATTTTTACTCAGATTGTACACAAAAAATGGACAATTTGGGAAGAGGAGATACGATTATTCGAGCCTCGCGGCTCGTTTCTATAGTTAGCGATTGTCAACGAGTCAAAGTCAGGAAAGTAAAAACTGAGAACTCCGAACAAAATTCAGCATCCTTATTTTTCTTTCTTTTTTTGTTGATCTCTGAAGGTCAGATTAGGCCTTGATAGCACTTTAAATTTACATTTTTGTGATCTTTTTGCCATGAGCTTTAGATCTGTATAAAAGAAAATCGAATCTGAATTAAAAAAAGCAACGAGCAGCAATGTCTCTAACGCTCAGATTGTCCACAAAAGTGGACAATTTTAGAAGGGAAGATACGATTGTTCGATCCTTGCGGTTCATTTGTTATAGTAATAATAATAACTATATAATCGTTATAATAATATAATAATAGTATAATAATAATAATAATATAATAATATAATAAAGTAGTATAATAGTATAATAATAGTATATAATAATAACTATAAAATCGAGCTGCAAGGCTCGAACAATCGTGTCTCCTCTTCCCAAATTATCCATTTCTGTGCACCATCTGAGCATTATTGTCAATTGGAGAAAATTCACCATATTTATCTCGCATTACGACTCGACGAGAAGCACTTTCTCGACGCTCTCTCCTAAATATGCAACGTTTTCCTAGACCCGAATAAATGCTCGAATTTCGTATGCACGATCCGAGAGTTTCACGACATGCGGCGACGCTTTGAGAACGCCATAAAATTCTCGGGTCTGGTCTACGGTCGCGTAACACGCAATCCGTCACGCGAGTTGCGTTCCACACGGTCACGATTTTTAATGAAAGACCCTCGTCCGCTGTTACAGGCGTACATAAAGAAGGAACTGGGCAAAGTGGTGGTCTACACGACGACGTCCGGCATCGTTCGGAAAACCTTCTACAACTGCAAGAAGGTCAAGCAGATCCTGAGGACGCACATGGTGAAGTACGACGAGCTGGACCTGTTCGGCGACGCGGAGCTCCAGGCTGAGCTCAGGGACCGTCTGGGCCTGTCCGCGATACAATTGCCACAGCTTTTCATCGATGGACAACACATCGGGGTACGTTTCCGATATCGATCAGCTGTTCGAACGATGCGAATAAGTGCATTGAAGTCATAGTGTTTGCATGATCAGGACTTTTGATAGCTGGGGCCTTGATTTGGAGTCGTCAAATCTCGAACAGTTCTGTTTGTTCTGTTTTGTTCTGTTTTTTTTTTTTTTAGCAAAAGGCTAGGCACGCCTAACGAGTTTTAAATACTTAAAACAAAAATGATTTTCTTTTATTACTTCCGTTCATCAAACTCTCGCTCTCTTTCGATCTCTCTCCTCTCTCCCTCGCTCTCTCTCTCTCTCTCTCCGTCTCTCTCACTCTCTCTTCTCTCTCTCTCTCCGTCACCCTCGCTCTCTCTAGCTCTCTCTTCTCTCTTCTCTCTCTCTCTCTCTCTCTCTCTCTCTCTCTCTCTCTCTCTCTCCGTCTCCCTCGCTCTCTCTCTCTCTCTCTCTCTCTCTCTCAGTCTGTAAGTGTGCATCGAGAACATAGCACATAATAAAAAGATTCTTTATCGCTTAAAACACCTTTTTTTCCTGTTTTTCGCGCGCGAGCATCTTCCATTGCGAACGGTTTTACAGGAAAAACACCGGCGGACGAGCGAACGAAATCGTAACGAAGGGTTTTGTAACTCGATAACGTCACGTTGTCGTCGCCGTTGGCGAACGGGACGATTGAAAAAACAAAAAGCGAAGCCCGCGCGTCTCGCTTCATTATTGCGGCATTAATCAGCCGGCCGGCACAAATCGGCTGGACGGCTTATCGTAAATTGAAATCGGAAGCTGCGCGGCCAGTTCTCGGAAAAGTCGAAACACAAATAATATAATTAATACGTGCACCCACGCGGACACCCACGATGGGCGAACGCAGTCGGAAGTCACGTTGAACAGTATGCGGACAAACGGTTGCGCCCCTAATGATCGATTAATCGGACCGATGATAATTATCGGTGCTCAACGGAGCGCGCATCAGGAACGGCTAATTTATGCGGCTCCTTAATTACCATGAAACTTTGCTTCCTGTAGATTATCGATAGTTGCGGCGTGCACGTGTCGCGCGATAAGGAGCACGTTTTACAGTTATCATCGTTTATGGGACCGATAAATAACAAAACGTGAGCATCTGCGGGCTACCGTGCTCGTCAACGCTTGTCAAACCTGCTGCTCGTCGACGTCACGGGAAAAAATGTACAGTCATGTCTCTCCAATTGGCGCTCGGATTGTCCACAAAAATGGACAATTTAGGAAGAGGAGATACGATTATTCGAACCTTGCGGTTTATTTTTGTAGTTATAGATTGTCCACAATTATAGAAACGAGCCGCGAGGCTCGAATAATCGTATCTCCTTTTCCCAAATTGTCCATTTTTGTTCGCAAGCCGAGGGAAAATTAGGGAGAATTTACTTGTGCTGTAGTAGCAAATTCTCCCCGATTTTCCTTCAGCTTGTAAACGAAAATAGGAAGAGGAGAGACGATCTGGGAAAAGGAGATACGATTATTCGAACCTTGCGGTTTATTTTTGTAGTTATAGATTGTCCACAATTATAGAAACGAGCCGCGAGGCTCGAATAATCGTATCTCCTTTTCCCAAATTGTCCATTTTTGTTCGCAAGCCGAGGGAAAATTAGGGAGAATTTACTTGTGCTGTAGTAGCAAATTCTCCCCGATTTTCCTTCAGCTTGTAAACGAAAGTAGGAAGAGGAGAGACGATCTGGGAAAAGGAGATGCGATTATTGCGGTTCATTTTTATAGTTACAAATTGTCAACAACTATAAAAACGGGCTGCAAGGCTCGAAAAATCGTATCCCCTCTTACAAAAATTATCCACTTTTGTGGACAATCTGAGCGTCAATTAGAGAGACATTGCTGCTCGTTGCTTTTTTAAAATTCAGATTCAATTTTCTCCTATACAGATCGAAAGCACATGGTACAAAGATCACAAAAATGTCAATTTAAAGTGCTACCAAGGCCTACTGTGACCTTGAGAGATCTCCTCTTCCCAAATTATCCATTTTTTGTGCACGATCCGAGCGTCAATTAGAGAGACATTACCGTAATTCGACGAGACCGAGTCGCGGATGCATTCGATTAAGTTCGGATCGAATACGAACGATCGATATCGAGCTAACTTCGGTATACTGTTATTTGTGTGTGTGGCTCGAACTGCGTTAATTAAATTTAATGTTCACTTTACGATCAATTTGGATCGAGCAATAAAATTTCGCGCAGTATCTCATGCATAAATGGAAAGCAGCGGGATATTGTTCGCGTAATAATTACGCGGGGCATCTTTCCAGAAAATTAATTTCAATTGAAGAGTTCGTAGAGAAAGAAAAGGAAACGAACAATTTCTTTCACTATTGAAGGGTTTTGTCATGCTCCAAGAGAGCCGTAGCATTCGATCGTGCTTCTAGAAAAATCATTCTTTACGCAAGTGTAAAATGCTCGAATACGCCGCGAACGTACGTTTTAATTGCCACAGCAATGAAATACGAAAACATAATCGCGACGATTAGCGTTCTGTATGTTGCTTTATAGGTTGCAGGGAATGCGAAAGAAAGTGTAGGACGCTAATTATTGTAATTGTGTGTCCGTACACGTTTCTGTGATCTTTTTATAGATTGCAGAAAATGTGGGACAACACGCGAAACGCGTTTACGATTGCAATTACCTTTTTTTCTGTTGCACTTTCTAAAAATGTGAAATTATTAAACACCGCGAGAGATGTGGTTAAACTGTTCGTTGAATAATCGGCGAAGTAATGAAACGACGCGTTGACCTAAGAACGTGAAACTACCGAAATCGCTGTCAACTGAAAATAGATCGTGGAAAATACAGCTCGAACGTTCACTGAATCACGAATTACATTTGCAATTAAGACTTCTTGGTGCATAAAACTGTTCGATTCTGCGGCCGGGTTGGTTCTTTCATTATCGCGTACGTATATTTGTCGCAGTTCTGTTTCTGTTTGCTCCGTTTTACAGTCTTAAACGCTGCTAAAAACCGTGTAAAAAGGTGCAAAATTTGCATAATAATGAGCACTTGTAGATTTAAAAAGAGAAACAGCAAACGCCTGACAACGAAAAGCGTAAAAATCCTCGACAGGGTTAACGCGAGACATATAGTAATGTCTCTCTAATTGACGCCCAGATTGACCACAAAAATGGACAATTTGGGAAGAGGAGATAGGATTATTCGAGCCTTGCGGTTTATTTTTATAGTTATAAATTGTCCACAATTATAAAAACGAGCCGCGAGGCTCGAATAATCGTATCTCCTTTCCCCAAATTGTCCACTTTTGTTCGCAAGCCGAAGGAAAATTAGGGAGAATTTACTTGTGCTGTAGTAGCAAATTCTCCCCGATTTTCCTTCAGCTTGTAAACGAATATAGGAAGAGGAGAGACGATTTTGGAAAAGCAGATGCGATTATTCGAGCCTTGCGATTCATTTTTATAATTATAAATTGTCCACAATTATAAAAACGAGCCGCGAGGCGCGAATAATCGTATCTCGTCTTCCCAAATTATCCACTTTAGTGGACAATCTGAGCGTCAGTAAGGGAGACATTACTGTGTATTGTGAATAGAAAAATAGATCTTTTATGGTGAAATAGATCTTTTATTCCTGGTCGCGGAACGCTGCTCGTCGCTGTTATTCGCGCGAGCGAATTTCTCGCAAGGCCGATGTCGCGTTGCGTAATCAATGGTTGTTGAACGAACGATCGAGAAAGTCGAGAGGACGCGGCGAGAGAAACCGAACCCGCGAAATGTTAAAGATGATCGCCGACTCGTTCTCTGCGGATCCGCAGCCGGAAATCTGCGATCGGTGCATCGTTACGCAACCGAGGAAAGGCTTTTGTACGCAGCGTACGCGTGCGTTGGATCCTGCATCGATACGTAGTGGCCTGGATCTGCGAGTTTGGTGACATTTCGGTTTCACCTTTGAACCGTAGAACACTTTCGAACGAACTCTATATTGAACAATATTAAAAGTAATTCTTTTTCGGTGAAATGTAATGTACGATATTTTCTACGAATTCGTTTAAAACCATTTTTATTTATATTTTATGTATTTGTTTAAAATCATTTTCGTTCATACGTTACGTACTTGATTAAAATTGTTTTCATTTATATTTTTCGTGTTTATTTAAAATCGTTTTCATTTATATTTTACATATTTGTTTAAAATCATTTTACATATTTGTTTAAAATCATTTTTGTTCATATTTGTTTAAAATCATTTTTATCCATATTTTAATTAAATTTAAATACTTCAATCTAACCCGTTTAAAGAAGATATTAAAAATGCTGTCCGGAGTAATTTATACTGTAAATTGTAACAGTATTAAGTTCCGAAGTTTTTCATAAAATATATTTAATCTCTTCGTAGGCTCCGCAGAACTTACGTTGACGGTACAATCCTCTCTTACCGGCGTTAAAACATTGTTCGCAGCTGTTAAACAAGGTGATAAAGACGCCCATTAATCAAGGAGGCCCCGGCTTTGTTAAAAGTCCTGTCAAAATCTCGAGTTTATCGCGGGAACTCTCGAAATAAGAAAGCGGCGATTCCGGAGCTCTACGCGCCAAAAAGAAATATCGCGCACCTGTGAAACCGGTAATTAATGCGGAACGTCTGCCAGTTTACGGTGTGGCAATCGCTATTATAACCGCGAGATGTTAAAGAACCACCTGTCCATACTAAAAATGTGCAACAATGTATCCGTCATCCCTTCGACTACGCTGCTATCCACAAATAAGCCGTTTAATTTGAAAGTGGCATAAGTCACCTTATCGTAATGAAAAGTGGTGATTTTTTAATGTTTATATGAAATTATTTATACTGAGAAAAATATCAGTATCCTGAGATAACAAATACAAGTAAATCTTCTCGAAAGTTAGCATCCATATTTTTAAACGTGTTAAAACGCAAACCCTTAAATACATCGACTTAAAAACAAAGTGACTTATGCCACTTTCAAAATAAACGGCTCATTTATCGCCGACACTTCGGTC